TAAAACACACTCAGTTGCAGTTTATTGTTTTTAAAAAATATGCTGTTGAGTTTGGTTTGTCAATATTTTGTTGAGGATATTGGTCTGTAGTTTTCTTTTTTTGTTATGTCTTTTCCTGGCTTTGGTATCAGACTCATACTGGCTTTGTAGAATGAGTCAGGGATTTCTTCCTCTTTAATCTTGTGGAGTAACTTTGGTAAAATTGGTACCAGTTTTTCTTTGAAGGTCTGGTAGAATTCAGCTTTGAGTCCATTAGGTCCTGGACTTTTATGGAGGAGCTTCTAATTACTGTTTCAATCTCACTAGGTCTATTCAGTGTTTCTATTTCTTCCTAATTCAAGTTTGGGAGGGTGTATGTTTCCACTGATTTTTTTCATTTCCTGTAGATTTGTCTATTTTGTTTGCATACAGATGTTCATTATAGTATCAGGTGATTTTTGAATTTCCATCATATCAGTTGTAATGTCGCCCTTTTCACTTCTGATTGAGCTAAACTGAGTTTTCTTTCTTCTTTTCTTAATTACCTAGCTAGTAGTGTATCAATTTTGTTTATCCTTTCAAAGAACCAAGTTTTTTATTTCATTGATCCTTTGTATTTTTTAATTGCAATTTCATTTAGTTCCGCTCTGAGTTTTATTATTTCTTTTCTTCTTCTAGCTTTGGGTTTGTTTTGTTTGTGTCTTTCTAGTTCCTTGAGGTGTGATGTTAGGTTGTCAATATGCAGTCTTTCAGTCCCATTAGTGAAGGCCTTAAGCACTATAAATTTTCCTCTGAACACAGCTTTGGCTGTGTCTCAGAGATTTTGATAACTTATTGCATTGTTGTGATTCATTTTGGAATTTTTAAATTTCCACATTGATTTCATTGTTGACCTAAGGAAAACTCAGGAGCAGATTGTTTAACTTCCATGTTTTTGTTTGACTTTGTGAGGTTTTTTTTTTTTTTTTGAGGTAATGTCTAGTTTTATTACTGTGGACTGAGAAGGTGCTTGATACGATTTTGATTTTTTAAAATTTATTAACACTAGATTTATGACCTATCATATAGTCTGTCTTGGAGAATGTTCCATGTGCTGATGAGAAAAATGCATATTCTGTAATTTTGGGGTGAAGTGTTTTGCAGATATCTGTAAGTTCCATTTGCTCTAGGGTCTGGTTTAACTCCAATGTTTTTTGTTGACTTTCTTCCTTGGTGACCTGTCTATTGCTGTCAGTGGCGTGTTGAAGTCTCCCACTGTTGTTGCATTGCTGTCTATCTCTTATCTCTTTAAAAAAAAAATCTTGTAGAATTTGTTTTATAAAGCTGGGGACTCTGGTGCTAGGCACATATATATTTAAAGTTTTTATGTCTTCTCATTTGACTGATCACTTTATCATTCATTATGTAACAACCATCTTTGTCTTTTAAAAAAAATTGTTGTTAATTTAAAGTCTTTTAAAATCTGATATGAGAATGGCTACTCCCACTCATTTTTGATTTTCATTTGCATGGAATATTTTCCCCTATCCTTTTTCCTTGAGTATTTAGAAGTCTTTGTGTGCTAAGTGGGTTTCTTGAAGGCAGCGGATATTTGTTTTTCCATTCTGCCAGTCTATATTTTCCTTAGTGGGGCATTGACCATTTATATTCAGAATTAATAGTGATATGTAAGGCACTTTTCTGTTAATCATACTGGTTGTTATCTGATTGCTTTATTTATTTGTTTGTTTATTTATTTATTTCCTCTATTGTGTTGGTGTTCCATAATGTGTGTGAGCCTTATGATTTCCAGCATTTTCTTACTGGTGTATTTTGACCTTCTGTTTCAGTATTTAGGTCTCTTTGGAGTATTTCTTATAGAGCTGGTCTAGTGGTGACAAATTCCCTCAATGTTTGATTGAGAAAGACTTCATTTCTCCTTAATTTATGAAACTTAGTTTTGTGGGATGCAAAATCCTGGGCTGACTGTTATTCTGTTTGAGGAGATTTAAGATGGGTCCCAATCTCCTTTGGCTTATAGGGCTTCTTCTGAGAAGTCTGCTGTTAGTCTGATAGGTTTAACCTTGTAAGTTATTTGATGCTTTTGTCTTACTGCTCTTAAAATTCTATCCTTCAAATTAACTTTGTATAACCAGATGATTATAAGCCTTGAAGATGACCTTTTTGCAATGAATCTTCCGGGGGTTCTTTGGGCTTCTTGTATCTGGATGTTTAAATCTCTCTCAAGGCCAGGGAAGTTTTCCTTTATTATTCCCTCAAATAGGGTTTCCAAACTTGTTGCTTTTTCTTCTTCCTCAGGAACACGCATGAGTCTTAGGTTTGGATGTTTTATATAATTCTACATTTCTTGAAGATTTTGTTCCATTCTCTTGATTCTTTTTTCTTTATTGTTGTTTGGTTGGGTCAACTCGAAAGCCTTGTCTTCAAGTTTTGAGATAATTTTTTCTGCTTGTTCTATCCTACTGTTAAAACTTTCCATGAAATTTGTACATGATTCTTTCATTTCCAGAATTTCAGCTTGCTTTGTGTGTGTGTGTGTGTGTGTGTGTGTGTGTGTGTGTGTGTGTGTGTGTTTATCTCTGGAGAATTTTTCATTAATGTCCTGCATAGTTTTTTAAATTAAATTTCTTTATGTTGGTTTGCAACTTTTCCCTTAGCTCATTGAGCAATTTCATAATCTTTTGAGTTCTATGTCTGGAACTTTACAGATTTCATTTTGCTTAGGGTCCATCGCTGAAGCATTGGTGTGGTCTTTTAAAGTTGTTGGAAAACCGTTTCTTCATATCTTTAGAATTATTTCTCTGGTTCTTTCTTATTTAGGTATACTATTTCTTCTTACTTGAGGTTGGCAGGGAGCTGACGTAGGCACTGTAGAGTTCCCTTGGTTATGCATAGCTTTAGTGTGGTGAGTTTCTCACTTTCCAGCTGTAGCAGTCCTGTGCTGGTATCAGCACTGGCTCACTGCGGCCTAAGTGGCCAGAGTGGTTTGGAAAGCGCGGTTAGCTGGGGTTTGAGATCAGGCTTTCCCCAAAGCTGAGGTATTATTTCCAATGTGGTTGGCTGCAATGTTGACCTCCAGCCAGGAGGTGGTGCTTGTGGGAGAAAGCCATCTGAGATGGTGGCTGTGGGCTTTCTCCTTGGCATGTGTTCCTCCAGGAAAATGCCCAGTCAGCCTAGGCTGGAGGGTGAGGCTCTGGGGATTTCCCAAGTTCTCTGTCTGTTTTGAGCCTTTGAGGGAAGTGCAGGGGATGGAAGGAAGAAGCCTGAGCACCCCGCAAAAGTGCACTGTCGGCTACCCCAGTGGGGATCAGGAGGGAGTCCCAGGCCACTGGGATAATGCTATTGTGCAGAGCAGGCTCAGAGGAGTTCACAAGGGCAGCGAGAGGTTGCTATGGCTATGTGTCCTCAGGCTCCTGCATGTCTCAGACAGTCTGCCATCTGAATGTCAAGGGGCAGCCAGCCTCAGGGTCTCAGGTGTTCTCAGGGCAAATTCCCCAGGCACTGTCTGCAGCGGAGGAGTTTAAACTTGGGGCCTGTCTCCTCCCAGGCTGGTGAGAAAGCAGCTGTGCCACCCAGTCAAAGCTTTCTTTTGTCCTGCATCACTCCATGGCAAGAGTACTGCTGCGGGTAAGGCAGTTTGCCATAGGGAACTGGAGTCCCGCAAGGCTCAGGGGGCCTTCCAAGTCTGAGGCAGGACCGCAGACCTCCTGTATTCCCTTCACTAACCTTCTCCACTGCATCCAGAGGCTGTGGCGAACTGTGGTGGTCCAGGCAAGAATCAGGCTAGTTTCAGCCCAGGCCAGTGGATTTTTCTCTTCTTTGTACTATGTGGGTATTATCGTTTCTTTCAAGACACCTGGAGCATGTTTCTGGTCCTGTTCCTCTCTGGATGCTGAGGAAGCTCTCTCTATATCAGTTTACTCTAGGAGAAACATACAAGCTGCCTCATGTGGGCCATCTTAATTCTCTCCCCTCAGGCCTGTATTTTTAAGTATTAAAAAACAAAAGGGGCTGCAGACTCCCTCTTGCTCTGTTGTGAGCATGTAAGTCAGAGCGTCTTTCTGGAAGGAAGCTGGCTGTCTGCATTTTAGGATTGAAAATGTGCATATCCTTGCATCCCCCATTGCACTTCTTGGAGTTGCTTGAGTCAAAATGATTAAGGATGTGCACAAAGATTTCACTACAAGAATGTTTATCACAGTCGCTTTAGGATGTTAAAAATATAAAACAACCCAAATGTGAAACCATAGGCAAATGATAATAATTAATTGTATGAATGCAGCAAAGGCATATGTGACCATGAAAAATAACGTAGACGAAATGACATGGGAGATGGTTTAAAAAATATGGTTTAACAAAGAGAGAAGATTGCAAAATAGTTGATGTCATAGGACTCTATTTATATGAAATGGTTATAAGGAAACTGGCAGAGAAAAAAAGTTCCAAAGTTAATCCATGAAGGTGTAAATGATCTCTAGGAGCAGGATTGTGGGTGATTTTTATTTTTGTGTGCTTTGTTTTTTTTTCTGTTTGCCAGTGTTATACAAATAAGCATTAGACATAGATTCACAGTGAAATTTGCTTCCAAGATGTCTTCTATGAGTCATGCTCTACCCTTACCCATACACTTTTGTTTGTTTTTTTACATGAAAAGTAGGGTTCTCTGCACATACTCCACAGCCCAGTTTCTTTTTGCAGTTGCTGCTGAATTGCAGTGCTGTACACAAAGAGCTTCTTTATTCTTTTTGTGCCATATAATATAATATAATATAATATAATATAATATAATATAATATAATATAATATAATATATTTCCCTGTATGAACACATTGTACTCCATTTAACCCATCTCTTATTGATGAATATTTAGGTTACTTCACTTTTTTTTTTTTGGTGATGTGAAAATCAAGAAATCCACACAGAGCATCTGGTCTGTGTCCTTGTTGACCTTGTTGTGTCCTGTGACCTGCTGGCAGGACACATCTGTCCCCCCAGGTTGACTCGTTTTCTCTTCACTCAGGACCTCTCAGCCAGACTGGTCAGTGTCCAGTCCCAGAGGGCTCAGTTCCTCATCACCTTCAAGACCATGGAGGAAATCTGGAAGTTCTCCACCTACCTTCATTTAGGTATGGCTACCAAGCAGGCGGGTTGGAGGAGGATGTACTTCAAGTTCAGCCAGTTTGTAGGGCTGAATATTCTGGAATTGTCTGACTCTGATCATTAAGAGATAGAGCCTTAACATGAATGGCTCACTTCTGAAATATCACATGCTGCCTTAAACTAGATCGGAAGCAAATATTAATGCCTACTATAAAATGAAGCAGAAAGAAGTTTGCTTCTTTGTGTCCATGCAGATCTTTCTTTATTAGATAACCAATCAACTGGCAAACAATTATCAGCCATCTACTAACTTCAAAGTACTTAGATATATGTGACGTTGATGACTTTTTTAAGGGAACTAAGTTTTGAGTGAGATCAAAGTAGCTGCTCAAACCGAACAGTAGCAAAGCTCCAGATATCATATCCCTTGTATTTGGAAAAGAGTCAGAGACAGAGTTGGGGGAATTACCTGCTTAGAACAATCCCAGGTTCAGGGTTTTCTCGAAGGTGAAGAAGGACATGGGGCCCTGCTGTGGTGGGAACGGCTCACCTGCCTTCTTTGGGAGAACATCTTGTGATGGGGAAGCCACAGTGACAAAGCTAAGCCTAGCAATAGGTGGTCACCTGAGTTGGTGTACATTTTACACCACCTAGAAAATGCTGGGCTCCCATCAAAAGAGGATTGGATTAAAAAAAAGTGGTACATATACACAATGGAAGAACAAAAAGCAGCCATAAAGAAGAACAAAATCATGAACTTCACAGCAAACTGGATGGAATTAGAGTTTATAATACTGAGTGATCTCTCACAGAAACAAAGAGCTGAATATCACAAGTTCTCACTCACAAATAGACCTTGAACAACTACCGTATTCAATCAAAGGATTGAAAGTGGCGGGAAACTGTGGGGAGGGGTTGGGGGGTGGGGAGGTGGAATTGACAGTAGTCAATATCTGTCTGGGGAAGGGGGGGCATACGTCATCAATAAGGGTACCTGCACGGAATATTTGTATACCTAGCCCTGAATTGTACCCCACAATTTTAAATAAAAATTAAAAGAGGAAAAAAAATCCTGGGCTTCATGTGAAAGGACACAGGGAGACATGTTACAGGGTGGAGGTCAAGATGGCTCGTGGCTGGAAGGCAGCACCCCTCCTTGTATGTCTGGCGATCTGCACATCTCCTTCTGGGCTGTTAGGGATCCCTGCTTTTCATACTGTGCTCCGCAGACCAGCTACATAGCTGTCACTCAAGACCTGTTAAAAAAGTAGAATCTTCGCCAGGCACAGTGGCTCAGGCTTGTCAGCCTGGCATTTTGGGAGGCTGAGGCAGGAGGATCTTGAGTTCAGAAGTTTAAGACCAGCCTGGGCAATATAGCAAGACCCGATCTTTATAGAAAATTTAAAAATTGACTGGGTGCGGTGGTACACACCTGTAGTCCCAGCTACTTGGGAGGCTGAAGCAGGAGGATCATCTTAGGCCAGGAGGCATTTTTTAGTCTGATTTTAGCAGGAGAGGTCTTTTCTGTACATTGGAGGAGGGGGATGGGCTGGGTGGGTGTAGGAAACACATTCTACCAGCTTTGTGAGCCATGTAGTCTCCTTACCACCGCACTGTCAGGAGCACAGGAATTTGATCCTTGCATCAAGTGAACTTAGAAAGTGACTAGGAACCCCCAGAGTAAACATGGAGAATTGCATGGATGTATTAGAGAAAGGTAATTGGATTTGGTTGTTTCATCATGCATTGAGACCCACAATATTTGGAAATTGTCGACATCATTTCAAAATGACTTTATTTCCCCACAGATGCTGAGAAGAGCCAGTTCATTCTAGAAAATGTCTAGCTACCCCCTTATTCTGTCCTAATTCCTGCGAAATGGCAGACTGGGACTAGAGGTCTGGGACCGAGCTCAGGAGGGAGCTAGTTCCCCCTCCGTGCTCAGCTGATGGCAGACATCATTTTGTTCAGGTCTCCTGTTGCCTTTGCTTCTTAGGCTATGTGTCCTTGTGTCTGGAGCATCTCCTCTTTGACCACAAGTACTGGCTCAACTGCAGATTGGTGGAGGACACCGAGATCCAGGTATCTGTGGATGAGAAGCACCTGGAGACAATATACCTGAGGCTCCTGATACAAGAAGGTGAGCATGCCATGGGTGGGCATAGGTTTTTTTCAGATTTGCTACCAGAGGCCTGGCGTAAGTAAGATTCAGGCAGGCACAAGGCCATTTGAATGTTGCATGTCCACACACGAGCCTGCCTGTCAGAACAGCACTCTTAGCACCCCTCCCGTCCACTCTGACACCCTGTGAACAGCTGTGTGGTCAGGTTCACCAACTACAGGGTTGTACAGAGATGCCCATGCAAGGGCTCCCAGGCCTTCATCGTCTCTGGAGGTGGGGCCCAGGCACTGGCATTTGTTTGAAAGTTGCCCACGTGATTCTAAAGCATTTCCAAGACTGAGTATCACTTTTCTGAACATGCAGTATAATTTGGCTGTAAAATGAAATTTCCAAATCTTGCAAAACCTGAAGCTTTCCATGAAATTGAGGAAAATGACGTCGAGGAAGTCCTTGAAGCACCCTCTGATCTGCTTACCAGAGAGGATCCTGTCAAGATTGCCACCCCCAGTTAGCAACTGAGATGGACAGGTCTGACAACATGATAGACACATTGAAAGAGCCAGATTTGCATATGATAAATTTGCAAAAAATGACTGTCTTTATGATTTGTACATTATACAAACCACATATGAAGGAAAGAATTTCATATTGTGCTACTCTAAAATTTGGCTGGAGTAATTATGTTCACCCAAAGGGACTTAATCTGTTCTTTGTTGGTTCTAACTTAGACTAAGTGTGAGGTTGTGAGATGGGAAGAGTGCTGGGTGGGTGCAGGAGAATGGAAAAAAATCTTTCTCGTGAGTGTGTATTTTCATTTTTCAATAACACACTTTCACTTTTGCTATCATTTTATTCTGACTTGTCCCTGAATTCTTTCTCGATATGCACTCAAGAGCCTGAATATCAGACTGAGGCTTAGGGTCTCACCTGCTCAGGAGACCCTCCCAAGCCCACCAGTACGGATAGGCCACAATGATAACTAAAGTTCTGTTAAATACATTTTCACAAGTTTTTTTATTTCATCTCTTTTTCAAGGCAAAGTCCCAATGAAGTCTTATTCGCACAAATTACTTGGAAATTTTGGTGTCTGATTTATTTAATTTTAATTTTATTTTTGAGTAGGAGTCTCACTCTGTTGCCCAGGCTGGAATGCATGGTCAAGCTGTTCACAGCCACCACAGCCTTGACCTGCTGGGCTCAGGCGATCCTTCTGCCTCAGCCTTCCAAGCAGCTGAAACTACAGGTGTGGGCCACCATGCCCAGTTAATTGTAGAGACGAGGTCTCGCCATGTTGCCTAGGCTGGTCTCGAACTCATGGGCTCAGGCAGTCCTCTACCTCTGCCTCCCAAAGTATTGGGATTACAGGCATGAGCCACTGCACCCAGTTAGTGTCTGTTTTAAGTGAATTCCCTCTCAGTGGCTTTTTTCTGGGTACCACTTTTCCTGGTTCCCGAGGCCTTCTTCAGTGTCCCCTCTTGATGGCATACTTTGGGCTCTGGACAGAAACATTCCATTGTGTTCTGATCCGTGTCACTTCCTACTGCTCCACGGACAACTACCACTTTTCTCCTTACCCACAGGCCACTTCTTCTGTAGAGCCATGTGTTCCGTGGCTCAGCCAGCTGAGATGGAAGGCGAGTGCTTGACACTTTGCAAGAACGAGCTAATCTCTGTGAAGATAGCAGAAGTAGGGTCCGAATGGGAGGGCGTGTCCTTGGTGACAGGTCAGCGGGGCCTGGTGCCGGCGTCAGCCCTGGAGCCACTGCCTCTGCCCTTCCACCAGTGAGTATCCCTGGGTTCTGGGAGAGGGCCATAGAGCACACTTGGGCCTGCATGGAACAGCACAAGCATGCTTTCAGATGTAGGCGTTCATGGCCCTGGGAGAGAGAGCAAGATCTGGATGGCTTTTTATCTTTCCATTAATTTTTTTGACAAAGTTTGCACAATTTGATGAGATTAGGGACAGCTCTAAATTTCAGATGGACCCTGTACCTAGGAAGAGACAGACTGCATGCCTCCAGTGCCGTGTTTCTCAATACATGGACTGTGGGCCACTGTGTCAGCACCACCTGGGGATTTTACTGTGCGTTCAGCCTTCTTGTCCCTCCTCCGATTCTCTGGAGTTGGGTCTAGGAATGTGCATTTTAAATATGCTCTCCAGGGGAAGAATGCTTTTTATGTGAAAGTTTGAGAATCCCTGCCCGAAAATATTGTAAACTCAAATACATGCAGTGACAATCATCGCCCCAGGCTGTGAACCCTGTGGTGGCTCTACCAAGAATCTGATAGTGAGAGTAAAGGTAGTTATTCAGAGTAAAGGTTGCAGGGCCAGACAACATCCCAGGGCTGCTAACTTTTCTCCTTTTCACAGTGTCTGGTATAAAGTAAGTTCTCAATCATGTATGCTCCTTAAAATAAGAGACATGACAGTCCTTTTCATCATCATCATATTCTAATGGACTATTTGTTCCTTGTTGTCATTGTTGTGAAATCCATGTCTGCACACCCCATTTCCATTGGCAGATGGTTCCTGAAGAATTATCCGGGAAGCTGTGGCCTTTCCAGGAAGAGGGATTGGACAGGTCCCTATCAGATCGGTATGGCTGTGTTGAAACGGTATTGTTAGGGAGATGATGTCCTGTCTCCCAATCTTGTCTGCAGGCTTGGAGTCAGCTGATGTGAATTCCTGTCTCGCCTCTGCTCCTGATGGGGTTTAGGGAAGCTGGTTTCTGTTGGGCACGTGGGTTTCTCAGCCTGTGAAGTGAGTCTCAGTGCAGGACTGCAGATGCAAATGCTGCAGAGGGTGGGGGGACACAGACACCAGAGGGCCTGGGAAGAAGGCCTTAGGGTGTGGTAAGGATGACAGGGATGCAAGGATGCATGGGTGAAAAAAAAAAAACCTGATGTAGGCCAAGTTAAATGTTCTGTGGGGGGGAGGGGGATGGGATTAACAGTAGCAAATACCTTTCTGGGGATGGGAAAACACCTCTTATCAATAGGGTGCCTGAATGAAACGTAATTGTACACCTAACCCTTAACTGTACCCCACAAAACCATAATAAAAAAATACTGATTAATAATAAAAAAAATGTTCTGTGAGCAAATGTGGCCTGCAGGCTGCCTGTTTTTAGTCTCTAGTCGAAACATTTTCTCATTTCCCTGAGTTTTGTGAAACTAACCTTGAATTCAGGAAGAAAAGGGATGCTTGGCATATCGTGGGTACTCAGTAAATGTTTGTTGAATGCATACATGAAATGTATATCTGCGCACACACATATCAGGTCATGCCTACCTGTATGTGTAACACACATTTCAGGGCATCTCTATCTGTATGTGTAACACACATATCTGTAAGTACTGCATCCGTGTGCCCATTGGATAGTGAACTCCGGTATCTTTTAGACATCTAGAATATCTTCCTTTTACCTGTATCCTTAGAGCTCCCCTCACCTGCCACACACCCCTGCACAAAGTACAATTTTATACGTTCTAAGCCCAAATAGCACTTAACAAAAGATTTGTATCTGCAAATCACTTAGTCCTCTTCCTCGCACAATGTAGATATTTAACATTGGGCAGACCCTATTAACCCACAGAGCAGTGGGAATTTCTGATCTTGAAGACATGATCATATAATCGTTATTCCTATTGTCCTAATTTTACATTTGGGGAGACTGAGGGTAAAAGGGTCCAAGGGAACTGGAAGGACACTTAGTTCTCAGACATTGCTCTGTGGGCCAGTGCCCACATGACACAATGTTTCTGTGAAGGTGGCAAAATCAGGCATACCAGGAGGAGACAGCTTCCCATTCTCCATAAGCTATGTTTATTCCATTTTAAGACATATCTTTCTTACATTTTTAAAACATTTTTTATAAAATGATGGTGAGAGTGGATTGCAGGTCTTTTTTTTAATGTCCTAGTTTGGCATAATAAAAGGTCACTTGTCTGCTATTTTTGGAGGTTGAACTTGTCCTAGTCCTTGACATCTGCGTTTGGGAGCCCCTCATTTCACATGTCGGAGGACGGTGGAGAGGGTGAGTCTGTTCCTGCAGGGTCCAGTTAGTTGACCATGTGCTGTGTCCACAGGCAGAGGGCGCTGCAAGGCCTGGAAGGACTACGAGCCCGAGGAGAAGGATGAGCTGAGTTTCCACCAGGGGGAAAGCATCGAGATCGTGGGCTTTGTCATACCTGGGCTCTCGTGGTTCATCGGAAAGTCAACAAGCTCGGGAGAAGTGGGCTTTGTCCCCACCAGGAACATAGACCCTGATTCCTGCTCCCCGATGTGAGTGTGTCCTGGGGCTGGGTTGCCTTCTCTGGTCCTAGCCCTCTCTGAGCCAGTGTGCAGGGGCTTCAGGAGTGCCCTGGTGACACAGAGTTGAGCAGCGCATTTTGACAGCCACAGGTGACACAGAGGGGACAGAATGGAGGAAGGAGTCAGATCAGTGCATTTCGGCAGGTCATCGTAGACCAAGACAGAGCCTGCCCTGGCCCCATGGAGGAAAGGGCACGCCGATCACTCGCCTGGTAGTCCCACGCAGAGCGTGTGGTTGGTCCCTTGCAGGCCTGAGTGAGGAACTCAGCTTCACCTCCCAAACTCCAGGCTGACGTGTGAAGCCAGCCTTGCAGGAGAGCAGGATGTATCTCTCTCCTTTCTGCCCTGAGCACAGAAAGACTAATGTCCAGGCACTGAGCTGGGTCTGGCCACTGGGTGTCACTCTTGGCCTATGTTCTTTGGATGTCAGGTTTCCAAAGAAAGCCTCAGCCTTTGCTGAAGTCTCCATGTCTCCTATAGGTTCTGTCCCAGTGCTGGTCTACCACCGTGTGTGTGTGTGTGTGTGTGTGTGTGTGTGTGTGTGTGTGTGTGTACTTACATGCCTAAATTTAAAAATAAGTAAGATGCATTAATTTATGCATGCAAAACCAGGAAAAAAGAAGAGGAGAAATGTCAGTATTTCATTATATTCAGTTTTTAAAAATTCCCTCTTTTGTCATCTCCCCCTTTGATTCTTCTTTTCTTCCTCCCACCCACCCCCATTTATTCTATCTGTGGCTTATCTGTGGCTTCTTTCAGTTTCCTATGGCATCTATTTTTGCTGAAGAGAATTATTATTATTATTATTATTGAGTTGGAGTCTCACTTTGTCGCCCAAGCTGGAGTGCAGTAAGGTGCTCACAGCCACTGCAGCCACAAGCTGCTGGGTTCAGGCAATCCTTCTGCCTCCGTCTTCCAAGTAGCTGGAACTACAGGCACATGCCACTGTGCCCAGCTAATTTTTTGATTTATTGTTGAGATGAAGGCTTACCAAGTTGCCTAGGCTGATCTTAAACCCGTGGGCTCAGGCAGTCCTCTCACCTCGGCCTCCCAAAGTACTGGGATTCTAGGTGTGAGCCACCACACCCAGCTGAGAATCTTAACTGTTAGTCTCCAAGCCATTTCTTTGCAGGTTGGTAGGTTTTTTTTCTTACTGGTTTTTGTTTTAGGGGTTCTCTTTGTCGTTGATGTTCTTTAATTGTACTACATAATATATTCTATTATGTAGTTATAGAAAAGTTTCTACTTCCTTCTTCATAAAGTACATCTTTCAGCAGTTATCTCAGTAGAGATCTATGAAAGTAATACTCTCAGTCCTCAGTCCCTTGTTTGTCTTAAATATACTTAAAATATACCTTTTTTTTGAGTCAGTGTCTCACTCTGTCACCCAGGCTGGAGTGCAGTGGCATAGTTCTGGCTCACCTGCAGCCTCAACCTCCTGGGCTGAAGTAATCCTCCTGTCTCAGCATCCTGAGTAACTGGGACTATAAGCACACATCACCATGCCTAGCTAATTTTTGTACTTTTTGTAGAGATGCGGTCTTGTTATAGTGCCTAGGCTGTTCTCAAACTCCTGGGCTCAAGTGATCTTTCCACCTCGGCTTCCCAAGGTGCTGTGATTACAGGCATGAGCCACCATGCCCAGCCTAAAATATGCCCTTTCATAATAATTTAACTAGGTATAGAATACAACATCTTCAAAATGTGGAGGGGAAAACAACTATTAATAAGAAATTACAAACCCATTTTTCAGGGTTTTGTCTATTTTATTAGTCTTTTCAAAGTATCAATTTTTCCTTTATTGTTATCTTTATTATTTCTTTGCTTTCTGTGATATGTCATTAGTTACATTTTCCTTGATTTTCTTCTACTTTTTATTTATTTCACTAATTTATACTCTTATCTTTTATATTGAATTATTTTATTTCATGAAATCAAACAGTTAAGCAACAGATAATTGAAAGAAGGATTAGGAGAAACAGACAACTTAAAAAGATATGTAGTCTTAAAGAAATGGGCCATATTAAAAATGATATTATTTTTATTTATTTTGCTCAGGACTTGGTGTGCTTCTTCAATCTGAAGACACATGTCTTTCTTCAATTCTGGACAATTCTCTTTCTTCTTTTGAATTCTACCTCTCTGTCATTCTTTTTAGCCTCTCTGCTGGAACTCTTACTAGAGGTACGTTGGACTTAGTCTATCTTCTGTTTTGCTTTATCAGCTTTCTTATATTTTTTCTTTTTTGTCACTCTGGGCTACATTCTGGGTGATTTCCTTAAAGTTTTCTTAAGTTTCAATAATTCTCTCTTCTGCTGTGACTAAACCGGCTGTTCAGTCTGCCCATATTGTCCTGAATTTTCATGCCTTTATTTTCTATTTCTAAAATTTGTATTTTAATATTTTTCACATATAGTCATTTCCCTTCAAAATACTCCATCTTCTCATTGTAGCGTCTATTCATTCTTTGTGTTTCATTGTTTTAACCATGCTGATCATAAATTATTCTTCAGATTATTGTCATTTTTAGTTAATTTCCATGTTAATTTACCTATTTGTGCATCTGCTGGCTCTCTTTATGAGTAGTTAGTTCATTTTCTTGTGTGGTTTGTATTTTTTGTTTTGTGAACTAATTTTCAACATTTTTAAAGGTAGACTTTGCATGAATTCTGGCCTTAAAAACACCTCCTGCAGAGTAAGCTTTGCATTTGCTTCTACTGGAATCTTAAGAACTTACGATCCAGGACTGATTTTTTTTTTTTTTTTTTTGAGTCAGAGTCTTACTCTGTCCTCCAGGCTGGAGTGCAGTGGCATGATCCCAGCTACCACAGCCTTGATCTGTTGGGCTTGGGTGATCCTTCGTCTCAGCTTTCCAAGTAGCTGGGACTACAGGCATGTGCCACCATGCCTAGCTAATTTTTCTATTTATTGTAGAGATGAGGTTTCGCCAAGTTGCCCAGGCTGGTCAGGATTGAACTCCTGATCCCAGACAATCCTCTAGTCTCAGCCTCCCAAAGTTCTGGGATTACAGGTGTAAGCCAACACACCTGGCCAGGACTGATATTTTAATGTTAAGTTCTTGTTATGTGGCACCTCCACTATGCGGCATAAATTCAGATCCCACTCCTATTAATGCCTCAGAACTAGATGTTTGAGCCCATTCAGCTACTTTACATGGAAAATGTGTTCTTGGCATATAGGCAGATGTTTTCCAATCCCCTTTTTATGGAAATCGTGGCCCTTTCAGACTCCTGGTTTTCTGTAGGGAGCTTAACTTCCTGCTTCACACAGGCCCCAAATCATATCTTCTGTCTGGGGTGGGGGTGGAGGGCGAGTATTAGAATGTCAGCCCCAGCTCTGAGGGCCAGTGTCCCAGCTGAAACCACGGGGGTCTCTGGGCCATCTGCTCTCACCTGCTAACGTGAGTTTGGGTTCTCCTTTTGTTACTGATTCCCCTTTTTTCCTTAAGGCATGTATTAAAACATTCCTCTTAGATTTTACCCAGGATTCTCCTGTGACTGTGGGGGAGAGTAGCCCTTTAGAGCACTTTAACCTGATACATTGCCAGAAGCCTTGTCACATTCTTCTAATCCCGTTTTCATGTTTGGGAATCCCTAATGTAATCTTTGAAGCTTCTTAGAGTCTCTTTAAATACCTAGAACTGAGGACATCTGCAGCCCAGCCATGGGGCAGTGGACACAGAGGTAGACGACTCGGTTTCAGTCTCAGTGTTGCCACTGTCTACCTGTGTCGGAGCATGTCACCGAAACTTTCTGTACCATTTTCTTCATCTACATGTGGTTTAAACAAACCTACATCATAGACTTGTTATAAAGCACAAATGAAATAGTAGGTTTGGGAATATTTACTAAAATTTGAGTTATATACAAATTGGGGATCATGTATTATATCAGTTTTTTATCCTGCCTGAATTCAGTTGTAGATTACAATTACATCTATTTTGAGGCTGGAAGCTTCCACAGTGCTGGGGAGAATTTGCTGATCAGGTCAGAGAGATATGGGCTCTGTACTGTGTTGGGAAGAGCCCTGGGCCAGGTATCAGCATCAGGCTCTTGTGCCGGTTCTGCCACTGATTAGTGGTGTGACCTTGGGCAGTTCAGGTAGCTGCTGGTTTTCTCATCATTGGCTTTCAAAATGTGTGCCTCTGAGCCCTGGCGGACACACAGTAAGTGGCTGAGCACAGTGTACCCTCCCATTCCTTCCCCAAACCCTGACTTAACTAGAGAAGTTCTCCTGTCCTGCTCTGCCACTGACTTCATTTTTCTGTGCCTCAGTTTATTCACCTGGAAAAGGGGGTTGAGAATATATTGCACCTGCCTCATAGCAGCTGTACAGTTGAGATGACATAACAGTGTCTGACTCACCATAACCCTGAAAGTATTAGCTGTTACTAACTTCCTTTTTTTTCAGTTGGAGTCTCACTCCATTGCCCTGGCTGGAGTGCAGTGGCACACTCATGGCATCCCAGCGTTGGCCTGCTGGGCTCCGGTGAACCTTCCAAGGAGCTGGAACTACAGGCACGCGCTTCCACACCCGGCTAATTTTGTTTTCTTTGATTTATTGTAGAGACGAGGTCTCGTCAAGTTGCTCAGGATCGTCTCGAACCACTGGGCTTAGGCAGTCCTCTCACCTTGGCCTCCCAAAGTGCTGGGATTACAGGCTTGAAGCACTACGCCCAGCCGGTTATTAACTCTTGAGCTTCCAAGTTAATTTTGCTTTAAAAATGGGTTCTGACATTTAAAAATCTTTATTTAGAACTGAAAGCAATCTTTAAGAATTGCTTAGGTAGATACTGAATTGTGTCCATCTGAACTTCTGGTTTCTAAGGTACTTTTAATTTTCAAATTCTTTAATTCTATGACAAACCTTTAGTAAACAAATTCCTCTTAGCAATTAATTTACACAACAGGGTGGTACCCAGGTCTCCATTGTTCACAATCACTTCTCTGGCCCCCGGCCCTCCCACCATGCCTGTTCCTTAACAATCTCAGTTCTTTCTGACTGCCACACAAACACAGAATTAGGCCTCAGCAGTTGTGCGAGTCCTGACCACACTTTCCTCCCTGTTTCTCTAGATTGTGTCAACTGTCCCTAACTTTTTCCTGAAGTAACTTAAGGACAGAGAAACTTCTTTTGATGCCCCTTTTCAATTCTTTAGGGCTACCAATTCCTCTTTTGTTCATTAAAAAGAGGTACCGTGTGGTCTCAGTGAACGGGCAGGGGCTTTGTTGCCCTTAGACAACGGAGCTTTCATGGGAGGGGTATTTCCATCCCTACTGTGACCTCCTGGGCAGCACACGGCTGGGTTCTCCAGCAGGAGGTGTCTATGGCTCTTCTCGCTTCTCCTGGGCAGCATAGACAGAACATGCAGCAGTAAGATGGGGGTCCCAGCCAACCGACAGAGAGTCCAGTGGCTTCTGTCTTCACTGCACCCCAGTGTGGAGAGGAGAGGTTGACTGGAGACCATGCATTGACCTGTCTCTGTCTTTTGCCCAATGTAGGAGCAGAACCTCCGCCTTCCTCAGTGACGAGGAAAAGTGCTCTCTGTGGGCCCTGGGACATGACAGGAAGGCAGAGGATGCCGGCTTTCTCCATGCGCTCGCTCGGACCGACATCACCTCTGTCTACCGGCTCAGTGAGTGTTGGTCTTCACAGCCCAGGTTCCTCCAGAGGAGGAGAGCTTCTGTTACCAGGAATAAGACACTGCTACATTCTTATCTCATTTATGAATTTGGGGGGCCATGACCACTGTTCAGTTGATGACCTGGATTGTATTTGATTAGTATCATTTCACTTTCAAGCTCAGATAATTCTAGGGTTTAATGGGAGGGACATGCTGCCTAGAAACCGTGAGATATGATGAAACCAACTCACCTATAGCACAAGTGGGCAGCTGTCTTGGGCCTTTGGTCCTCATCTGGGAAGAGCTTCCTGAGTCCTGGCTGGGGCCCCTCCTTCTAGGGCTGAAGTAGGTCCCCATTGACAAAGGTGGGACTGTGCTGCAGATGCAGGGACCCAAGACATGACTTCTCCCTCACTTTACAGATTGGGAAACTGAGGCCTGAGTGAATTCCTGTCTGAGCATAAGTACTGCTGTGCCTTAACTGTAGGTCAGTGCACTCCACTGCACTGCCATAATACCAGGCCTGTTCTTTGTTTCTATCCAGGTGGGTTCGAATCCATCCAGAATCTTCCAAATGACCTGAGCGGTGAGTAGAGATCATGCTGAACCTGACTCCAATCCCTGAGCATGGCAGCCCTGTCCTCCTGCCAAGAGCAGCCGCCTCGGCCCAGGTACCCAGGGCGGCTCACCTGTGCCTGTCCTTGCAGCATTCCAGACCGAGGGCTTCAAGGAGGCCAGGCCTGGCGGGGCCTGGGAGGAGCGTCAGGCCATGCGCCCCAGGCGGTCCAGCAGCTCTGAGGACTCCAGCCTGGAAGAGGAGCTCCTCTCAGCCGCCTCAGACAGCTACCACTTGCCGGAGCCCGATGGCCTCGATGACCCGGAACTGCTGGTGGACCTCAGCTCTGGGCAGGAGGAGGAGGAGGTGGAGAACTTCGCCCCCCTCTTGGCATTTCTGGATCACGAGGGTTACTCTGACAACTTTAAGAGCCTCTATGACTTCTCCTTCTCCTTCCTCACTTCTTCCTTTTACAGCTTCTCTGAGGAGGACGAGCTTGTGGCCTACCTGGAGGCCTCAAGGAAGTGGGCCAAGAGGGGCCACAGGACCTGGGCCCACACCCGGCTCTGCTTCCTCCTGGGCCGGCTGAGTATTCGCAAGGTGAAGCTCTCTCAGGCCAGGGTGTACTTTGAGGAGGCCATCCACACCCTCAGTGGGGCGTTTGAGGACCTCTCCTTGGCAGCTGCTCTGTACATAAACTTGGCTGCCATCTACCTGAAGCAGAGGCTGAGGCACAAAGGCTCAGTCCTGCTGGAAAAGGCGGGGGCCCTGCTGGCCTGCCTGCCTGACCGTGAGTCTAGCGCCAAGAACGAGCTGGACGTGGTAGCCTACGTGCTGCGCCAGGGGATTGCAGCAGGCAGTGATCCGCTGGAGGCCAGAGCCTGCTTTCTGGCCATCCGCCTGCTCCTCCGCCTTGGCCGGCATGAGGAAGTGCTGCCCTTTGCCGAGCGTCTGCAGCTCCTCTCAGGACACCCTCCTGCCTCGGAGGCCACAGCCACCATGTTGAGTTTTCTGTATGACAAGAAATACCTTCCACACCTCGCAGTGGCCTCTGCCCGGCAGTGTGGCACCCAGAGCACCCAAGGGATGTCTTCCATGTGGCAGGTCCACCTGGTCCTGCAAAACACCACCAAGCTCCCTGGCGTTCCTTCCCCAAGCTGGGGCGACGTGTCCGCTGTGGCCTGCCCGATGCTCAGGCAGGCACTGGCTGCCTGTAAGGAACAGGCCGACTGGAGCACCCAGAGGGCCCTGTGTCTCATCCTGTCCAGAATGTTCCTCCAGCACAGGTCTCCTGACGGCGCCATCCACTACCTGAGCCAGGCTGTGGTGCTGGGGAGGCTGCTGGGCGAGCAGGAAGCCTTCGAGTCTTCCCTTTGCTTGGCCTGGGCCCACCTCTTAGCTGGCCAGGTGAAGGAGGCTGTGAACCTGCTCGAGCCACTGCTGTGCTCCTGGAAGGAGGCAGAGAACTTTACCCACAGGGGAGTGGTCCATAACCTCCTGGGACTCGCCCTGCAAGGGGAAGGCCGGGTGAACAGGGCGGCCAAGAGCTACCTCTGGGCCTTGCACAGGGCACAGGAGGTGGGAGAGGTGCGTAACCAGGCGGTGGCTCTGGCCAACCTTGGCCACCTGAGCCTCCTGTCCTGGGCTCAGCGGCCGGCCAGGGACTATCTCCTGCAGGCTGTCCGACTCTATTCTGAACTCCAGGCCAGTATGGAGACAGACATGGAGTTGGTGCAGGTGCTTCTCTGGCTGGCCCAGGTTCTGGTGTCTGGGCGCCGCTTGACCCATGGCCGCCTTTGTTATGAAGTGGCACTGCTGTTTGGCTTGAGGCATCAACACTTAAAGAGTGAGTATGGCCCATGCTCCTGGAAAGCTTCAGAGAATGTGTTGGAGCAAGTTTTGCCCCCCTCCTCTGTCAAGTCATCTCATTCGTGTCCCTGCTTTATGTTCAGGTCAGCTTCAGGTCACCAAATCCCTCTGCCATTTCTACAGCTCTGTGTCCCCAAATCCCGAGGCCTGTATCACCTACCACGAGCACTGGCTGGCCCTGGCCCAGCGACTCGGGGACCGGGAGATGGAGGGGAGGCTGCTGGAGTCCCTGGGACAGCTCTACAAGAATCTAAACACAGCCAGGTAAGTTCGGGCCAGGGGCTCGTCTAGAAGCATCTTTCTCTTCTTATGAAGAAGCAGTGTTCTTTCCCTCTGGAAGTCAAATCCAAATGCACGGGCAAGGCATCGTACAGACACACAAGGCTTCTGCCTCCACCACAGGTACCATGGTCACATGTTAGCGATGTGGCCTTGGGCAAGCCATGTAACGTCTCCATGCCTCAGTTTCTCTGGCGACTAGAGAAGGCTAGTAGTGGCATCTACCCTCTAGTGTTATTGTGTGGAATAGATGAGTGAATGCTCACAGAACACCCAGAACAGTGCCAGACACAGTGAGGGTTCAGTTGTGTTAACTGATACAGATTAACTGATACAGATGACATGTGCGTTTCCATAATGACCTCTCACAGACCAGGCTGATGGTGAGAATTCAGTTAGACGCAGGACCAAGGAAACTTTATGAGGTCTTTATTATCTGAGGACGATTGTTTTTGAGGGAAGGACATTTAAAGTAAAATAACCACTGAAGGAAGAGGTGCAGAATTTCATAGTAAAAGAGTTTGATTGGGAACATATCTTTAAAATGAAACTGGTATTTATGAAACAAAGTTTATTTTCACCTTTTAGTTAAGAATGCCTAGATTATACTTGCAACTATGCACCAAGTCTTAAAATAAACACAAAGCAAAACAAAGAATGTCTCATTGCTCTGTAACACAATTTTGTCAACAACAATTAACCCCAAAACTCAGCATACCTTTTATAGTACAAGGTATGACAATTAAGTTTGTGAACTCATTCCAGAAAAAGTACTACACACCTCATTGCTGAATATCACTATGATTATCTTTGAAATGCTCCCTTTGGGAAGCTATGAATTGATGTCAGCACCTAGTCCACCCGTCAAAGCAATTTTGGAACCCTCTTCCTGGAATGGCCATCGAGCTGTCATTGAAAGAATGTTGGAGTTTGAATTAGAGCAACAGACAAACATTAAATTTCTTGTTAACCTTGGCAAGAGTGAAAGTGAAATCAGGGACATGTTAGTTCAAGTTTATGGGGATAATGCCATGAAGAAAACGGCAGTATACAGAGGGATTAAACATTTGTTTGAGGCAAGAGAAAGCATCACTGATTAAGAAAAGTCAGGATGGCCAGTATTGAGCATAACTGATGAAAACATTGCAAAACTTTGTGGAATTGTGTGTTAAAATAGTCAGCTGACTGTGAGAAGCATAGCAGACCAAATACATATCAATAAAAGACAGGAAACTCTTAACTGAAGATCCTGGCATGAGAAAAGTGTGTACAAAAATGTTCCCAAAGGAGCTCTTGCATCTTGACAATGCACTCACTTACACAGCATGGTCTGTGAGGGAGTTCTTAGCCAGTAAACAAATAACTGTATTGGAATACCTTCCCAATGATATGGTCCATGGAATACACGGCTGCTCTCTCACTCACCAATAAAACCCAAGAAGCAGGGAACTGGGAAGAAAGAAGTTTATTTCTGAATTTGGAATTCAGGCAGACAAGCTGGTATAGATACCAAGGCCAGCTCAGTTCCTCGATTTTTACAGTCTGTATTTATAAGCTTAAGTGTTGAGCTTAGCTATTGATTAACAGCAAACTACATGACTTACAAAGCATTCTGTAAAATTTCAGTTTCAATTACATTTTATCAGTTATAACATTCATTGTCTACATGTTGTTGGTACCTATTACCGAGTCTGTAATTTAGTTTATCAGTACCTCTAAGTAAAAGTGCTAGCGGAACTTACTACAAAGTGGAACATACACCATTAATCAATGGGTACAACAAAACAAAAATGTACTGGTTATCGTTACCTGATTTAATATTATTATATTTCTAACTTCAACTATTGATCACAGGAATGAATAACAACCTATTTCTCTATGTGACTAAAACCATGGGGTCTGTGACTCATTCTGTTCCAGGGAGGGTCAGCACAGCCTCATGATTCCAAGGAATGCTGGTACGTACAGGGCAGTAACCCTAAGCAATCCAACATTTTTAGTAGTAGAAGTCTACTTAAGAGGGTCTCAACTGGGCTCGGTGGCTCAGCCTGTAATCCCGCGCCTTTGGGAGGCTGAGGTGAGTGGATTGCCTGAGCCCGCGGGTTCGAGACCCGCCTGGGCAGCAAGATCTCATCTCTACAATAAATCAAAAAATCAGCCGGGCGTGGTAGTGCATGCCTGTAGTTCCGGCTACTCGGAAGGCTGAGGTGGAAGGATCGCTGGAGCCCAGCAGGTCGAGGCTGCAGTGGCTGGGAGCAGCCACTGCACTCCAGTCTGGGTGACTGAGTGAGACTCCAACTCAAAAAAAAAAAAAAAAAATAAATAAAAAGAGGGTCTCTTCATCACCTACTCACCTGATTTGGCCCCCAGTGACTTTTCTCTTTATTCGAAGATAAAAGAAATACTGAAGGAAGACATTTTAAGGACATTCAGGACATCAAGGGTAATATGATGACAGCTCTGATGGCCATTCCAGAAAAAAAGTTCCAAAATTGCTTTGATGGGTGGACTAGGTGCTGGTGTCAGTGCAAAGCTTCCCAAGGGGTATGTAGCATATTTTCTTTGATGAGTTCATGAACTTGATTGTCATACCTTGTACGGTAAAAGGTGTGCTGAGTTTTTGGGTTAATTGTTGTTGACAAAATTGTGTTACAGAACAATGAGATATTCTTTGTTTTGTGATTGATTTTTCAGCACTTGCTTAAAAAGCCTCATTTCTGGAAAAATCGACAAAAACTTAATCATTTAACCCAAGCCTTCTGTTGACCTTTTGATATTACACTGTCCCCACTTGGAGATCTTGCCATCTCTTGCCGAGTTTCTCTTCTCTGTTGTTGGCTGCCCAGTTGCCTCTCACTTGCCTGTGGGTGGTCTGCATGTCTCTCTAACAAGCCTGAAATCAATTTCATTAAATCCCGCGTGGTTTGCAAGATCTTCAGTTTCACTTTGTAACGGATTTGCATTGTAGTCTTGTATTCATAATTAAGAGTGGCTTCTGAAATGGAACATTTAGGATGGCTTCTAAAATTGAACAGAGAGGTGGCTGAAGAGAGCCTAATTCAATGGCATTTTTGGTTTTTATAGGCGACATGGTAACCTTGGGGACCTGGACAATCAGATAATGAATAATCACTCACTCCCTCTCCATCATCCCTTCCTTCTCTTACAAGACCCAGTCTCCTCCACACCTTTTGCTGTCTTTGCCTTCAGTCCCGGGGAGGAAGTTTGGATCCATGCAGCACGTGAGGGGACAGGAGGCCCCACCTCACCCTGCTTCCTTTCCAGGATACACTAGGAATTTGGATTCTTTTGGAGCAGATCCAGAAGGCAGGCTTGAATTCACTGTTGAGATGAGTCATGGTGCAGCAGCGTAGGACTGGGCTTGGGAAAGTTGGACTGCAGGGGACTGGAGCAGGCGTGGCAAATATGTGTCGGGCTTATGGCCACCCTCACTGCTTTGCAAGCTCAGTCTTGAATACTGCTCCAGTCATCACTTACCCTCCAGCCATCCTCAGGTGTCTAGAACCACTGAAATCCTAAGAGGTAAGCCAGAGAGAAAGCCCTGGACATTGGCAACACAGATGGCAGAGGCTTTATTTAAGGTGGTATTCAGGATCACTGTTTTTCTCAGGTGATGGAAATGTTGGAGCGGTCACAAGTGGGGCTGAGTTGCCCAGGAAATCCCTGGAGGAAGTTGAAAGCCCCAGAGCTGGGAGAGGAACCACAAAAACTGGGTTGGAGTTCAGGAAACCTGATCCTGCCATGACCTCATAATATGTCCTTAAACAAGTCACTCTTCCTCCGCTTTACCATCTATAAAGGTAGATTAAATCAGATATATTTAGCTCTAAAACATTGATTCTGGGACCAGAGAGTTATGCTCTTCTGACACTGGATATGAATACCAAAATTCCTGCTGCCTCTGAAGAATCTTGAATTTCGGGAGCAGGTTCTTAAAGTCATGGACCTTCTAGGCATCTTTGAGATCAGAGACTTTCAGGGTTTGAAAGACTGTGGCATGTTCAGAAGTTCTTGCAGGCAGACATCCTAACACAGAGGAGGCATATGGTACACGTGTGCTAAATGCTTCTTGGTCCACTAGCTCATAGTCCTTGAACTGCAGCTATATGCTGACTTTGTCACTGAAGATTAAGATAGAGAACGGGGGAGATTTACCCAGAGGGGTCCATGGCTCCTTTGCTCAGGGCCCAGGTAAGGAAAGAAAAGTGCTTGCAACTTGGAGGTCTTTAGCAACAAGTGCAGCAGTCGGAACGGAACCTCAGATGCCCATTTCAACAGCCCTTTGAGAACACTGGCCTATAGAGTATTAGCAATGGAAGACAATACAGTCTTTTCTTAGGGAGTCCGTTCATCAGGAACTGAATCATGTCATGCACTGTAAATTAGAAAGCAGGGATTTGTACCCAATTGAGGAGTCCAGGTTTTTCTAAAAGTAAATGGTTGTTTAATGTAAAAAATATTAAAGCAGTATTGAAGTTTGTAAGCTGAGAAATAAATGTCCCCTTCCAACTTCCTTTTCCTTAACCCCCCCCACAAAGAAGCTACTCAAAGATTTTTAAATATCCATCAGTAAATATTTTATGCTATGAAAAATTATATATGATATATATTCTCTATATTAAATAAACATTAGGTATATAAAATATAATATATACATGTTTTAGCTACATAAATGAGATGAAGATTAAACTTCTTTATGTGATCTATTGTTCTGTTATTTGCTTTTTTCATTTAAAAAATATTACTACGAAATGTTGATCCAGCATTTTATCATACTCTGAAAACCCTTCTGACATGTCAGGCATTGTGGTAGGTGTTGGGGAATCCAATGATTAGAAAAATAAAGTGTTAAATATCTATTCCATAATGGAGTAGTCTACCCTATGTGAGAGTGAGCATGTTGTTATTACAAGTATTTAAGCAGAGGCTGACTATTCAGAAATCTTATAGAAGAGTTTCCTGAA